ATTTTTTATCTTTTTCCTTTTGTTTCCCTACCTTTTTTTTTTTTTTTTTTTTTTTTTGACATGCTGTTTCATAAAATATATACTGTAGTGTTTTTCCTTTTTGCAAATATGCCGTAAAATCTACATTTGAGCATATACATTACTTTAAAATGTATCAATAAATGAGATGCAGTATGGTGCAGACATGTATGGGTAGTGAAACCTTAGTAGAGCTAAATATAGGGCACCCACGTGAAAAGATTGAGAGCACCCAGCTGTAGATCTTATTAAAAAGGAATACTGGATATGCTGCTGAATCAACAGTTGATGACACCTGCCTAGGGTGCCTCTATCTTTCTCCAAAGAAGAACTTTACCCACCAATTTCATGTCTCTCAAAACAGTTACTTTTAAGGCATGCCAACTGTCAAGGTTGTCAGTGGGCTTATTTCAGCTCTCAACCAAACCTTTAAGCTCTCAACTGGCTGGTGTTCTAGCTGATCAAATGTGCAGCACCATGGCAACTGCAACCCAGATGGTACATTCCTTGGCTGTAAGGGATAGGAGGTTATAGTTCCATTGGGAGATGATAATGTGTAGAAAGAGCTACCCAATGCTAGACTTCTGGAGACAAAATCATCTGGAGCAACTGTGCACGGCAACCAATTAGCTTCTCTCTTTCATTTTCAAATCTTAACTGAACAAAAGGAAGAGAGAAGCTGATTGGTTGCCCTGAGCAACTGCACCAGATTTTGTCTGATCCAGTTTTGATAAATTCCCCTCACTATGTTTTAACATAAACAGAGAAGATCTGTACTTCTAGCCTGGGCATAGGAGCACGAGGTGGATTAAATTTTTTTTTTACCCATTGGGCTTCCATGCTACAGTATTCCGTGGTGTGTGTGTGTGTGTGTGTGGACCCCCATGGCCAATCATAACTGTAATATAATTTTCCTAGCAGACTGACACATTAAATCATTCTTGAGGTTTAGCCAGGGGTTTATTATTTTTGAAAATCCATGGAAAGTTTGTTCTGGTTAGCATTTTGTTTTGTTACAAGTTGACTGTGATGCCATGTCTTGCCCTACTTCCTGTCCACACAGGATAACCCCACAGTAGTTGTTGAAGATTTACGCTTGTGCACAGTAAAACACTGTGAAGACATTGAGAGACGTTTCTGCTTTGAGGTCGTTTCACCTACTAAGTAAGTATGTCATGGAGGTCAGCTACTACATATGGCAACAACATCAGCAGTTTACACACTGGCTGCCTTCATTAGTCTTCACCGCAACTTAGATTCATCTTTTTGGGTTGAGATTTTATTTGAGTGAGATATTTGTAATAAGTATTAGAATGTTTGCAGGGTGCAGTGAAGATTTTTGTAATACCATGTACACATTCTTTTCTCTTTAGCAGTGTGGGTGAGTGGTCTTGGGGAGATTCATATTGTACATTGTAATGCACACATGAGTATATGGGCTGCATATAAAAACAGATACTTTGCAATAACATAAATCTTAATGAAATTACTGATCGTCTGTGCAGGATCTTGATGGCTGGGGCTGACAGAAAGATCCTGTATTAGAAATACATGAAATGGTCAGTAAAGTGCTTGAGTTAAATGCATATAGACACCTAAACATCTGTACAGCGTAGAGACATGTAGAATTCTACTTCCATACCATTCAATTACCTTTACACATGTGCATGCATTCCCACCCGTTTAATGTATATTGGTGCATGCATAAATTTGATGACCTCAGGCGCAGATTTTTTGATTTTGTAGAACGAAGCGCAAGTTTACGGATTTTTCCGCAGCTGTGTGCTTGGGCCCATAGAAAGCAATTCACCTGCGTTTAGATCCCTAAACAAAACAAATGGCTGTACTGATAAAAGCACTGCTTGCCGTGTGCATGAGCCCTAATTGGTGGTATTCCTGTCTCAAATATGTTTTTGTGTACACTTTCCCCTTGTTTGAAAGGATGTGTAAAGCCACATGTGTTTCAATAATCATGTACTTCACTTCCTGTCCAGGAGCTGCATGTTACAGGCCGACTCTGAGAAGCTGCGACAGTCTTGGATAAAAGCCGTACAGACCAGTATAGCTACAGCTTACAGAGAGAAGAGTGATGAAGCCGAGGTTAGCAAACATGAGTTACCGCACTTGCCTATCTTTTAGGTTCTCTAAATCTTTTAGATGGATCTCAAGCCAAAACTTTTATTGTAATTTTGAATGTTTTTTTTGGTGCGTCTCTCATTTACCTTCATTGCCTGTCCTTGAGACGCAGCAGAGCAGAGGAAATCATTCCATAGTCATTGGAAATGCTACATTTACATGAGCCTCCTGCGTTTTATTTAAACGCAGAGTAATTGATCTGGGGAGTAGAAACAGCTTTCTACTTCAGATATCACTTTCTCCTGTGTTTAAATGTTAATATGTTTACATGCCTTTCGATGCCTTCAATGTATCTAATCTGCTCCTGGATGCACAGATTGCAAGTGACCTGAATGTACCTAAACACACAGTGTGAATTATACCATTTAAAATAAAATACATATACATATTTGTGTTTGGAAATGTCCTATGAATATAAACCCATGCATGCCACTGCCTGTGTGAGGCTTTAAACAGCTGTCAGCTGAACAAGTGTGCTCGTTGAAGAATTCCCTCTGGTAATAGCTGTGCATCTCCCATCATTTTTTTTTGTCCTGGTGACAATGGTCACCAGTACAAATGGAGACAATGAACCCTCCCAGCGGGGTCACAGCAATAACAACCTGACGGGTTCTTAACCTTCCCTACTTTTGGCTTTAGATCTGTACCTTCATTTTTGTTTTACCATAGCGCACATATGATTTATAAATTAATACAATTGATTGAGCAACAACAATTTGAGAAATGTTATTTGTAGAATGGTTTGTAAACTCCTAAACTAACTCTGCTGAGTGTTTATTTAGTTCCATTGTATTTATTTCCATTGGTAACAATATGCATGTATAAATACAGGTTTTCTTTTTTTATAAGTAGTGGCAACTCAGTGGAGCTCGAGGACAGAAATGTTGTATTTGCATCCCTCTAGTGAATCGTGCATATGGTTACATGGGGAAACCATGGTAGCTTGGCTGAAGAGCAGTGGAGAAACAAGCAGATGGTCTTTGCTCACCTCTTAGCTGTCACTCTGGTTTTCAAGCTTTAAGTCGCTGAGCTGGAGCAAGTAGGCAGATGCGGACTTCTGACTTTTTAATCTACATACTTGTTCAGAGTTGGTGACTAAGAAAGTAATAAGGTCAGAGTGTCAGCTTAAAGTGGAAGGAAAGACCACGTAACAACCCAAATATTAAGTGTTGCTTCCCCATTGCTTTTATTCTCCCTGCAGACATTTTCTAATATATCAATATCTAAATAAACATTTTCTGTGGTTTGCTATATGGTCACATGACGGGAAGGCTCCGCCTGGTCCGTGTGTCTCTGCTGACAACAACGCTGTTCATACCTATAGCGTAGTGATGTCACCCTTCAGCATCCATAGCTTCAGGGCATTGTCAGCCACCACAATATAGGAGAGTTGGAGCTTTGTGGTCACGTGACCACATAGGAACAATGTGTTTTAGATGGCAATTTAGGAGAAATTACCTGTAGGGAGTAGAAAAGCAGTGGGAAGCAACATTTAACAGATATGTCGTTGCATAGCTTTTTCTTCCTTTTTAACATCAAGTTAAGCATTTTCAGAAGGAGGTCAGCAGGGACAGCCCCCAGAATTCTTTAATTACAGATTTGATTAAATTTTTTTGAGTTCTTGAACCCCAAAATGTGTATGTATTGTAAATATGTGAACTTTATGGTTACAGAAAGCAGACAAGAAACCTTCCGTATCTAGCAGTAGCCCTGTGACCGAGACCAAACTTGTTAAAGGGGAGAGTGCTCTGCAGAAGGTACTATGTATACCCGGCAATACAAAGTGCTGTGACTGTGGCCTTCCAGATCCTCGCTGGGCTAGTATTAATCTGGGTATTACCTTGTGCATCGAATGTTCAGGAATTCACAGGTAAGCGAACAATGAATTTCTTTTATATAGAGAAAATTATATTTCAGTGAGGTTTTTTGGTTTGTCTATGTAAAGTTGCGATTTGGGCCAATAATAAATCAATGAATGCATTTATTCGGTGATTAACATGCCACCCTTAAAGTAGATAAAGATGGCAAGACAAAAAGTGTTGTGCAAAGGAAGGCATGGCAATAATGCATGAGGCAGCAAATAGCAGCCTTTCATACACTGTATCTGTTTAGCAAACAATACGTCTTGTTCTGATTTTTCTTTATCTTAGCCACATGGATTGTATCCTTTTAATCTGTTCTGGAATTATGTCACCAATCTTTCCAGAGAAAAGACATAATACACAAGGTCATAGTCCGAGCCTATAAAATAGCTGCATAGCTCAGATTTCTTAAAGTGACCTTTTTTCTTCAATTCCTGTTTATATTATTTGGCAAAGGGAAAGAATGAGGTGACGGTGCCGTGTTTATGTGATGTATTCATACATTGAGGGCCCGTTCACACCAAGGCTCACACGTTTTTGCGAGTTGAGGCGCGATGTGTTAGGCAGCTCATTCAAAATGAGTGGTCTGCGTTGCTCTTCAGTGAATGAAAATGTAGTGTTTGCTGCATGCTTTTTGCAGCGCAGTGCAGGTGTACTGTGTGGATGTGTTGACGTGCCTTTCAAAATAAATGACACTGTAACGCACCTATGCATGCACAATGCGTTACGGTTATGCAATTGTTTTATCGCAACGCAGATGTGTGAACAAGTCCTGAACATACAAAATAGCTTGATGTCAGTATCCATTAGGCAAACAGCTGCCTAGTACTGCGTGAATAGGCTTGCTTGTACTGATTGCAGGAGTGATGCATTGCCTCGATGTCGTCAGCAAAAGCATATTTCTACTATATAGAGAAGTATGTAGGCTGCCATCACTGACCACTAGGGATGTCCCGATGCCACTTTTTCAGGCCCAAGTACAAGTACATCCCCTCATGTACTTGCCGATACCAATTACCGATACTTTTTCTTAAAGGGACAGGTGACTTTAAATGATCCATAGTACAACTACATGTTATGTACTATGGATCATGGTTTAACCTATTCATGTTAGCAGTAGAGAATTGTAACTATATTGCTGGAGTGTAGTGGAGGTGTGTGCTGTATATATGCACTACATATACATTACACACGTCCAGCACACTATAGCAATAGATTTACAGCCAGCCCCATCCCAGCTTCCCTTACTCACAGTTTCACTCCGATCCCCGTAGCCTCACGCGATGCCTCTTGTAGTCGGCGCTGGGCAGGATCGCTGCATCGCATCT